ACTCAACAATGTCATCATCACGAGGTTATAAAAAAAAAAAAAAAAAAAAAAAACAATTTTGAAATAACAAGTAATTAAATGTACTTGAATCAATTGGACACAGCTCTTGATCCAGTCTTCCCCGGTCTGGTAGCTTTTGCACAGCGCTCTATACACTGCAGCCAGGAGCGCCGACCCCCAGCTGTACTTCTTGATCTTATCGATGTCGCGCAAGAGCTGGGTCCAGTACAGGTTGACTCCACAGACCCTCTGGTCGGGAAAGAAGAAGGATCCAAGGCACCAGAGGATAAGGGCCCTTGCCCTCTCTTTGTAGGTCGTGATGTCTTTTCCATCTTGCAGCACTCTGTTGCATTCGATTTCTAACCTCGAGTGCTTCAGATACTGGCCTATAATGCCCCAAGTTTTGGGGTTGGCTGTCAGGTCGTCTGCTTCCTGAGAGTGGTTTATATACATTAAAAACCAAACATTGGATTACCTAGGGGTCAAAAAAAATTGTGTTCAAAAATTTACCTAGGGGTCAAACCCTAGAATCTCCACACACTCATCTCGTCATTGCTGGTTTGTAAAATCTACAGTCTGTCCCCAGCAAGGATTTCCATCTTCCGGGAGATCAAACAGGAATTGTATGTCCTGGAGCGTGATCGTGGCCTCCCCGAAATCAAAATGGAAGGTGTGCGTCTCCGGTCGCCACCTTTCCACCAGACAGGTAATTAGGCTGTTGTCGGTCTGGACTCTGCCCATTCGAAACAACGGCCCAAAACCCGTCCTATCGTTCACCTCTAAAACTCTGGGATGTTGTTTCTCCAAAACCCGTTACGACATCCTCGTAAATCTTCATATACCGCTCTTGACCGGTGGCGGTACTGAAGGTATAAAAGGGAGGGATCACTCGGACAGGGGTATACATTCAACCGCTTAGGTTGTGACGAGGACGATGATGCCATTTTCTACAAATAAATTATATACAAGAATAAATTCACGAATAAATTCACAGATAAATTATATACAAGAATAAATTCACAAATAAATTATATAAACAATAAATTCACAAATTCACAAATAAATTATATACACAATAAATTCAAAAAATCACATTTAAATTCACAAATCACGAATAAATTCACAAATTAAACGTATCTCAAATAATTCGAAGCCCTAATTCACAAATAAATTCACAAATCACGAATAAATTCACAAATTCAACATATCTCAAATAATTCGAAGCCCTAATTCACAAATAAATTCACAAATCACGAATAAATTCACAAATTCAACATATCTCAAATAATTCGAAGCCCTAATTCACAAATAAATTCACAAATCACGAATAAATTCACAAATTCAACATATCTCAAATAATTCGAAAACCCTAATTCAAAAATAAATTCACAAATCACGAATAAATTCACAAATTCAACATATCTCAAATAATTCGAAGCCCTAATTCACAAATAAATTCACAAATCACGAATAAATTCACAAATTCAACATATCTCAAATAATTCGAAAACCCTAATTCAAAAATAAATTCACAAATCACGAATAAATTCACAAATTCAACATATCTCAAATAATTCGAAGCCCTAATTCACAAATAAATTCACAAATTCAACATATCTTAAATAATTCGAAGCCCAATTCACAAATAAATTCACAAATTCAACATATCTCAAATAATTCGAAGCCCTAATTCACGGATGACCAAGAGCACACTTCAAGATAAATCATTCAATGATGGTTGCACAATGGTTTCATGACTTGACTGTTGATCTTTTGGCCCGAGTTTGAACCATGAGAGCAACTATCATTAATTTTGCCTCTAAAGAAAGGAAGGAGCAAAAAAGTAAATTTTAATTTTAAAATAAGAAAATAAGACAAAAAATGAATAATTATTGCAATTTTTAATAATTTTTGTGTCCATGACCACCCGAAAAATGAATAGATGAGATCAACCGTAACTTCTGCGATGGTGGAGAAGATGAGAACCGCTTGAAGGGAAAAAAATAACAACAAAAGCACGAAGAGAAAAAAAGAACACAATGACAACAAATTGTTAAAGAACATAGTAATTCTAGGACAACAAGTGATACCCACCAAAGAGGATAAACAAAAGCAAGCAGGAGACAATAAAAGATAAAAGGAGAAAGTTTGAGGAAACAAAAGAAAGAAGTACCAACTAAACTGAGAACAAACATTAATTAGAACGAAATGAGAAATTTCATACTAATGGGAGGAACTCGAGAGATAATTTTTTATTCAACAAGTGGAACTTGAAAATATAATAATAAAATATGCCTAAACATTTGAGAAAAAATAATAATAATTAAAAAAATCCACTTGCATAGAAACTGTAGTTTTTTAACCTCGACTCAGAGCAGAGAGCGGTCTTGGTGGTGATTCAAACCGAGTGTCAATAGAGCCGTCAATCCAACCTTGACCCCGTGGATCGGGCTTCGACATGGACCGGTAAACTCAGTTTGATCCAGTCATTATACTTTTTTTTTTTTGTTTTAGATATATTTTTTACTTTAAAAATAAGAACTATGTGTATATATTTATATGTATATATTTATTATTGGATACAATATTATTAAACAAAGTTAATATAAAAAAACATACATTTATTTTATTTTATTTTTATACGTATTAATATAATCAACGATTGTGTCACATGGCTCTCCCCTCTCCTGAAAATTTGGTTCGAAGATCAATTAATTCGAAAACATAATGTGCCACATGTGGTGGGTTGGAATCAAATATCCACATTTTCTTCGATTGCGAATGGGTTAAACGATTGTGGAAAATGGTGGTGGGATTTTCTGGTCAAATTACAAGGTGAAAGCTTCATCTCGAACCTTTGTGAAATTCTGGATGGGGATCGGGATATTGAAATTCTGGGCTCTGTAACTTTTTTTTGGATTATTTGGAATGAGAGGAACCGTATTCAACATGGCAAGCTGGCGAAGAGTGTGGATCAAATTTGAGCGCTCGGTAATGCTTGGTTGGAAGAGACAAACATTGTGTCTCCATGCTCCTCCAGTATTGAGCAAACACTCAGTCTGACCCCGATCATTTCTTGGCCTGGCCCAGGTACATGTTTAAATGGTTTCTCCATTTTTTGTGATGCGGCGGTAAACGATACTTCAATTGGAGTTGGTGGGTGGATTTGTGATTTGAATGGTCTGTGTTGGGCTGCCTTCGCTTCTCATCAGGTGGGATCTTTTTCCCCGGAATCACCGCAAGCATTTGCTCTCAGATTTGGATTGCAATTTGCTTTGGATGCAGACTTTATGATTCAAACCGCAAAAATCGACGCCATGTCTACTATTTCTGGCATCTTGAACAATCATCCTGTCGACCCTTTGCACAATATTTTTGCTGATATTGTTGGTCTTTTGTCATCGCTGAATTGTGGATTATGCTGTCACGTTAGTCGTGAGCACAATGTTGTAACTCACAGTATAGTTAAATGGGCTATTAGGTCGACGGGATCCTCCTTGTGGAGGAGTCTCTCGGGCCGTCTCCAGAAATATGGAGGCCCCAGACAATTTTTTTGTTTTTAAATTTTTCATTTTGACTTTGCGTGGTAACTAGGGCTATTTTTCAGATAGAATCATATCAAAAAAAAAAAAAAAAAAAAAAAAAACTTAATTAAACAAGACTATTAAATAAATAAATAATTGATAAAAAAAAAATTTCTTGTTTTTCTAGATCTTGAAACTAATAAATTGTCTTTGGGTTACAAAGATCTTTAATAAATTATATTTAAGCAGTCACGAGGACACAAGGAGAATATTTATTTTCGCTTAACTTATTCTGACCGGATATCATAAGAAAACAAATGATATAATTTGGACCTCAAATTCCCACACAAAGTACATATTTTGTCATTAGTCCTTTCATTTATGTAATGGGTCAAGTCCATATTTAGCCATTAGCCACTTTGTTTGTTTAAATAGGCAAAGCCTAACACAAATACATAACACTAAAAAAAAAAATTGAGGCCCCAAATAAATAGAGGCCCTAGGCATGGGCCTAGCTTGCCTCCCCAAGAAGCCGGCTATCTCTCTCCCTTCATTTCTATCTTCTTTCTTTCGTTATGTACTATCAGATGGTTAATTGAATGGAGTTAGTTTGTTTTTTCCCCAAAATATATATAGTGAAAATAGTTATTTTCACCCCATTTTGAAGTCCTGCTAAGTTTTTCACACCGCCCAATAAAAAGCTAAGTTTTTCACCCCAGAAAATGCGAAAGACATTGTGCGATGAATATGCGGTAGTTGCGCTATGACATTGTGCGAAAGTTAGAAGTGCAAAGGCATTCGCATATCCATTCGCACTTTCTGGGCTGGAAAAAGTTAAAGTGCAAAGGCATTGTGCGATGAATATTCGATAGTTGCGCGATGACATTGTGCGAAAAGTTAGAAGTGCGAAGGCATTCACATATCCCTTCGCACTTCCTGGGGTGAAAAAAGTTAAAGTGCGAAGGCATTGCGCGATGAATATGCGACACTTATGCACTTGATATGCGATAGTTATGCAGTCATTCGCATAACCTTCTCACTTTCCGGGGTGAAAAAGTTAGATTGTTAGTGGACGGTGTGAAAAACTTAATGTATCATTGTATTGGGGTGAAAAAAAAAATTTCCCATATATATACATATATATTAAAATTATTATATATAATTTTAAAATTTAAAATTAATTATCATTCAGTAACTTGGAGGCGTGCCCGACCATGGTTTAAAAACTATGGTTGAATAATTTTCCACCTTATCACCTGGCTCACTCGCAGCCACTCTCACCAGCCATGGCCACTCTAAACCTCTCGATCCTCCCCAAAACCCTTACCCTCAATTCGAAAACCCTAACTCCTCTCCTCTCATTCCCTTCAACTTCCTCCCTACCATTCATCCACTGCGCTCCTACGCATCAGACCAAAACAAGAATCACCAATTTCCCGGCGGTGAAAGCTGTGGTTGATGGGGAATACTCCGCGAAAAGGGGCGGCGGCGGCGGTGAGGAAAGGGAGACGATAAGGTTACCCGGATGTGATTACAGTCACTGGCTCATCGTCATGGAGTTTCCCAAAGACCCAGCTCCTACCAGGGAGCAAATGATCGACACCTATCTCAACACACTAGCGACCGTTCTCGGAAGGTTTTTTTCTCCTTTTTCCTGACCCTTTTCGATTTGTTTCTTCAGTTGATAAGTTGAAGGAGCTGTAAATGTTGTTAAGGTTGCAAATTATGGTTTAGCAGAACCCTCGCTAAAAGATTTGGCCCAAAGGTAGCATTTTTTTTTTNGGTAGTTTTTTTTTTTTTTTCCTTTAGATTCGTTTCTTCAATTAATTCGGCAAAGGAGGTGTAAATTTTGTTAAGGTTGCAAATTATAGTTTAGCAAAAGCTCTCGTTGAAAAATTTGGCCCAATGATAGCATTTTTTCTTTTTTTTGTCTAAGTGAGGTGTACAAGTTCTGCCTTTTTCTATTGATTTCTTCAATTATTTAGTGAAGTGAGCTATAGATGTTGTGAAGGTTGCAAATTATGGTTAGCAAAAGCTCTCGTTAAAAGATTTGGCCCAAAGATAGCATTTTTTTGTCAAGGAGATGTGTAGTAATTTTTTCTAGGAAAATACAGTATATATGCTGCTCTGTAGCTACTTCATTTGAGTGTTTAGTTTGATATACTTTATATCAAGCACTATAATATCATATGACTGAAAAATTTAAGCAGTTAAAACCTCAGCTAATTGGTGGTTATAATTTTTTGTTCGGAAGCATATGGAAATGGCATTACAATGGGGTTAATGATAAGAGGTTAACAATAATGAAGTTTTTAACTTGGATATACTCACACCTTAACACCTCACATGTGTTTGCGAATTCCATGTGTTAGCATTGAAGAAGCAAAGAAGAATATGTACGCGTTTAGTACAACTACATACACTGGCTTCCAATGTACTGTATCTGAAGAAACATCCGAGAAGTTCAAAGGTACACGCCTTTCGCTATTGAAGATTTGATTATGTTATTTTCCAAGAAAAGTCCATGATTTTGAGTTTCCAATTTCAGAATTGACATTTTTTCCTTCTGATTGCACTTCTTCATTTTTAGGTCTACCTGGTGTTTTGTGGGTCTTGCCAGATTCTTATATCGATGTCAAGAACCAGGATTATGGAGGTTTGTCATTTTTTCTCTTAAGACTGTTATTATTTTTATGATATGATATCTGAATGCAGGATGGCTGCTCTACTATATTACATTTTAAGCTTCTCTTGCCTCTTTATTTGCTTTTAACCGTCTTTCTCCTCTTCATTTTTATGGTTGTAGGAGATAAGTACATCAATGGAGAGATAATCCCTTGCCAGTACCCGACTTATCAGCCAAAGCAGAACAGAAGTTCAAAACCGAAGAGCAAAGCATACATAAGACAGCGAGATGGCCCTCCTGCTGAAAGTAGAGGACCAAGTCAAAAAATATCTCCAAAATCTGCTTCTTAATTGGCTATGGCAGGTTCAATTCTATTTTGTTATTCACTTTTAGAACTACTGAATTATTTGGGTTTTTTTTTTTTCGGTTTTTATTTATAGGTCGCTGGTATAATAGTCGATGAGAATTGAATCACTGTTAATGGATGTTCATCATTTGTGGCTTTATTTGGTTCTGAAGCTAGGTTGAGATTGGTTAAATTTAGCAATTGACGTGCAATTGCTGGTACATATTGGCCATTCAAAATGAGAGCCGTAGTTAATGCTGTAGTTGTTCAATTTGAATATAATGTGTTGTTATTATTCAACTGTTTGGATCTTTTGGTGGGCGGCAAAATGATGCTATAATAGTCTATCTTGTTTGTTTTTACTTTTCTCCTTCATTCATTTTTTCTTGTGTTGACATTAATGCTTTACATTACACTTCATCACTGATATCACGTCAAATATATCTTTTAGCAATGTAAAGTCCACTGAATTGAACTCTGTAAATACGTTTTTGAACCCTAATTTTTGCCACAAATTGATTTTGTCCTAATTTTAGCCCCAAATTGATTCTAATTTTGCACAGGAAAATGTATTCTTGAAATACGTTTTCTGTTAAGACTTTTTAAGATTTGATGAGATTTCCAAGAAAAAAAAACCTTGTATGAAATCCCGCTTCAGATCTCACCTCTAGATTTAAAATTTCATAATATTCCTACAAAATTTAAAAAATCTCAAATCTTACAAAGTTTCAAAACGTCACTCGAAATTCGAAACAAATACAACAAGTTAAATACCTTAGAATTTTGTAATATTTTTTATATTCTCATATATATATATATATATATATATATATAATTTTATCGGATGTACTGAGTTTAAGTGACAGACTCGTAGATTTCTGGATGCTATGTGACAATATTTTACGCTTTGTCATTTGGCTTGGTTGAATTTTAATTTACTCTCAATCTTTTTTTTCCTCATATTTCTTTTAAAATTATGAAAATATTACTAACTTAAATTATAAGTATATCTAAAAGTTAATATTTTTTTTATTTATTATCAAATTTTTATACATAATATATCAAATTAATCATGTATTGATTAGTTTCAATTTTACACCTATATTGTATATAGAAAATAAATAAATAATCTAAAAATTAAAATAATTTTATTATTATTATTTTTAATTTTAAATATAAATTCTTTAACAAACATGTAATAAACGAGTATTATACTATTCCCAAACAAATACACCAAAATTTATAAAATATTAAAAAAAATTATAAATCCCAAATAAATACACTTACTCATCTTCGAAATCAACCCCCCAAAAAAATCAACAAATTCACCACATAAAATCAAGAGTTAATTGCCACAAAAATCATAACCTTTACTTAAATTGCATATTAAACTCAACCTTTTTAATTTTGCACCAAAAATACAACCTTTTTATATTTTTGCAATTCTATCTCAATGTTGACTTCCGACAATGGGCCGCTGACGTGGCCAATCAGAAAAATGACGGGGCAATACAACTCAATATCTTGTGCCACGTCAGCAGACACGTGTACCTTCTCTCTCCTCCCTCCTCCCTCTCTCCTTCTCTCTCATCGTCTATCCTTCCGTCACGCGCTCCTCTTCCACTCTCTCTCACTACCACCAAACCCTATCCTTCTTCTTCACCTCGCCGGATCCCAACTCGCCACCAATCCACAAATCCGATCTCGTCCTCCTGACCCTCTACGGACTATTCGAACCGAGGTGATGTTCCCGAGGTGTTCGTGCAATGCTGGGACCATCTTGGGGTCTGCTATTTGCTTCTTGGAAACCGAGGTGGTAACACCGAGGTGTCGATTCGATATTGAGATGATGCCGAAAACCTTCATTGTAGCTCGGACTTTTATTAATTGACCCTAAGATTCTCCTAAAACCAACTCATGACGTCCTTAATCTGTGATACTCGGTTTTGATGTCAACAAGCATAAAGTAGGAATTAAGTTGAAAAATAGTGACAAAATATTCTAAACAAGATTATCCTAATAAAACATAACTTTTATAAAACACACTTGAACACAATTTGTAGAAAGTATTAAATTTAAATCACAGACGCTAAAATGGTGAAAAATATTACCCCTACTACAAAAATAAGAAAAGTAACTCTTATGACACGATCTGATCATTATACCAATTGTTTTTCACAAATATGCACTTTCATTTTAAAATGTCATATTTTAAAAAGTAAACTAAACAAAAAAATATGACATTTGTAGTATAGATATATAGGTTTGTTAACATAAGTATGACAGATCGACTCACTTAACTTTTGGACTAACTTACATTAAAATTTGTGAAATTTGAAAAATTCGAACCCCGCCACTAAGTTCAAATTGCTTTTGTTTGGCTCCATGTGGTGTAAATTGATTATACCTTATGATATTAATATGGTCTTCAATATAACATATGGTTATATCATAAATGTTTGGTATTTAATGAAATTGGAATGCGATGAATGAAAATCAGTCAATAGGTGTGGGCAATAAAGGAAATAAAATTGTTTGATACTTTATTAACCATGCACATGTGGCTGGGCCGGCTGGCGCGAATCCTATGAAGATATCTCTTACTCTCTTTCTTTTTTTTTCTCTTTCTTTTTTTTTTTCCCATAATCTATTTATTTGGTTCCAACGTGAGCACGTTTGTTTATAAAAATTTTTGGATTTTTGATTTGATTTGATTAATTTTAAAAAAAATAGTATGATTAGTTGTTAGTTGGTATATTAAAATATTATTTATAATAAAATAATTAAAATTGATTTGATGTAAAAGTAAGAGCGAGAGAGATTTGAAGTGATGGTTAGTTAAAATAATGTGAGTGGATGAATAGTGAATTAATGTTGATGTGGTGTGTATGAATAATTGATTGATATTATTTAATTATATTGATAATTTTGATGATAGTGGAGTTGAGATAAAGTTGAATTAAAAAAAGTGATTGAGTTGAAATGTGAATTTTTTTTGAAAAATTCCATAAACAAGCATGCTTAACTTCCATTTAAGCCCATGCGTTAGCTGATAGGCCCCGTTTATCATATTGGGCTACACTAGTTTTAGGCCCATACATAATCAGTCATGGCCAGATAATTTTGTGTAGTAGTACTTGGGGAGAATGTAGAACATCTATGGCTCATGGGTCTATCGATGCTAGCCCGATAAATTCTTGATATTTTTAATGTTAAAAAATAATAATAAACTATATTTTTTTAATAAAATTTAGTACTTATCTCTTCATATATTTCTAACTACAAATCACTATTTTACCATTTTTCTTATCATCTCTTTTTATTTTATCTCATTTTGATTACTAGTACGTACCCCGTGCGATGCACGGAAGGAAGATATTAAATAAGTTATTTTCACAGGCTCTATATCATTTATTGTCTACCTCTTTTAATCAGCGTTAAAATGTAGAAAACAATAGGATTATAATCTATTTTCCACCTCTTTTACAATAGGATTATAATATATTTTCCACCTCTTTTAATCAACGTTGTTTTTTTAGGCAGAACATATTGAGCATGTTAGGGATAACTTGTAAAATAATTAATATATTATCTCACTACCACATTTATAATTTATAATAATATAGATTTGATATTTGTATATATATTTATTCATCGATATAAGAGAAAATAATTGTTTTAGGACATCTCCAATTGTAAAGGGATTGCTCTATTTCATTGCCACCTAGGTCCAAAAATCCAATGTGGCATTTAAAAAATGTAGAAGTCTTTCTAGATGTAAAAATATATATATAAAATTATTGCAGATATTAATAAAATTGTTTAAGGAAATAATATTTTTGATCATATCTAATTTGATCTTATTTGAAAAAATGTATATGGAAACATTATTGCATATATTTAAAATATTTCCAAAAAAGGGTATGCCTTAATATATATATATATATATATATTTATTAATATAAATTTTTTGCTACTATTTTTAATAAAGGGTTATTCTTATTATATATATATATTTCTATATATATATATATATATAAATTTATACTAATATAAATTTTTTATTCTCTTTTAAAGTGGTGGCGAAATAAATCGGATATGGAAAGTGGCTCTTTCAATTTCATTCCGAAAATGAAGTTTTAATTCAAATCTTTCATATGAATCAAAATGATTCTTTCAACAGGTTAATAAATCTACGCGGCTTTATCTACCTAAAAAACAGGAAAAATATAAACAGATCGTTACAGAACAATTAATGCTCTGATTTATAATTGTAAAAAAAATACTATATTTAGTAAATATTTAATGATTATGGCGGGAAAAAGTTTATAAAATTGATAAATATTAATTCTTATTATATATATATAGATATAGATGGGGGCTTTTATCTAATTTTTATTAATTAAATAATATTGTCATGTAATATAATTAATTAATGTGTTATTAAAGTATGTGTGGAAAGGACAATGTGTGAAAAGGACAAAAAGTTGCTGTTTATGGTAATCATTTAATGCTGACCGGATTTTGTGGATTGGTTGACCTACTATTTTTAAAAAAGATTAATTCTTATTATATATATATAGATTTTACAATAAAAATATTTTTTAATTCTCCCCTTATCGTTTTTTTGTCTCTAAAAAGGAAAATAATATCCAATAAAACCTTTTTAATTATTCAAAATAAATATACGTTAAGCCAGTACTATTTGATGGGAAATTCAGAAATAATAGTTCTCTTCTTTTGGAATCAAAATTTACTGTATTTGGCTACTGATATTGAGATGCATTTTCCAAAGCACCAAATCTCTCATTTATTTTCCGTTTTCTGCTTTGCTGCATAATTAGAAAACTATGACCATCTTCATGAGATACTATGTTCATAATTTATTATGCAATAAATATCAACGGATACACCTCTGCACCTCAACTCAAGTAAATTAAGTAATTAATAGCAACACAACAGATTGCACAAAATAGGTTTCTTCAACTCTTTTTTTTTTTATTTTTTTTTCTTTTTGCCATAACCCAAGAACAAATATGAGATAACTTTTACTGTTACAATTTCAAAGGAAAAGCACTATTGAGATTGTGAATATGAAGAACAATTGAGAATATGAAAGGAAAGATTGTATATCTGATATGAGACGAAAAATGAAAATGACAAAGTGAATCTCCAAACCCTAACACAAGCTATATATATACTATGGCTGTTTAACTAAAAGTGCTATTATTGATGAAAATACAACTTTGATACTAAAACACACTTATATGAAGAAATACTAAAATACACTACAGCTGCAGCCTGCAAGCATCAATGCACCACAGTAAAGATCACATATGAAAACAAACAGATTATATTTGATAACAATTTTTCAAATTCAAAACACAACACAGTACACACCATTGCTTTATCCACCACTTTTAGTGAACAAAACAGCTATCTTTCAATTTTCACAACATTTTATACACTTCGAATAAAAATATTCACAGT